CCCCCCCCCCCCGCCGAGCGCCGCGCCGCCGGAGCGCCCCCGCTACCCCAAGATTGGCTGCCCCTTACCAGGTGCCACCCCAAGCATGTGCTTGGTTGCCTGGTGCCTGGAGCTGGCCCTGGCTGAAATCCCTAAGCAACTTTGAAAATCGCAGCCTGCATAAAATACCCGGCTGTTCTGCCAGCACCTACATTGCATGGGAGTAAGTTAGAGACAGAGCAGCACCCTCAGCTGTTGTTTCCTGGACTTCTTCAGATGTTTAATGTAGGAGTTTTCGGTCTGACTGTACTAAGGTCAAAGGTCCTTCTTCCAGGAACAGATGAAACATTTGCATGAATCATCTCTCTCAGCAGAAGTAAAAGGCCCTTCATGTTTTAGAAGTGAGTTTCTTGATGAATCCCTGATGTGCTAATATCCCCAACCAGGGATCAGGCGAGCCCAGGGAGCAGCAAAACCCCATTCCTCACTGCAAATAACCCAACTAATATAGCTTGTAAGGCACAGGTGTCTTCTTGTTGGAACTGGGAAACGGGCCCACTGTTGCTGTAGCATCGACGTGTTAAAGAGCCAGTTAAAATTGCCAAGGGGCCTTTCATAGTTACCCAGGAGAAATGAATCACTATTGCATGTGTAATTGCTGGAGGTTCTCCTTGTACAGACTGATGGAGGAGCAGGCATTCCTATGCCAGGGCTGTGCACACTACATAACCCGGGAGGGCTCAGTCATGCCTGGGAAGCTTTCTCTCTCTCTAGAAAGCTTTTCAGGAGTGATCAGGAGCTGATTTCCTTTAGAAGCCACTCAGCAGTGAACTCAATCCTCAACATCTGTCCCCGACACAACAGATTGTTAACCTGGAGCTAAGAGTATAAATAGCTGTCACTAACTTATGGGGAAAATCCTCAGTAGAGCTTTGCTGTTCTCTGAAAGAAAAGCAAAGTCAAAAAGGCAGGGAATTCAATGTGCAAACCCATCCACTGGAAAGTATGCAATGGAAATGCAATGCCCAGGGCATCCAAATCACCTGGACTATTCCCCCAGATCCCTAGGACCTTCCATTGAAGACAGATACAGTCCATCTCTCTGACAAGCATTGTGATATCACAGCTAGTTATCACAAGCAACCCCCAGAGACCTTGACAGGTCAGCCAGCAATCTGAATGGTGGGGGTATCTTCAATCCCATAATACTCTGCCATTTGGCAAACAGCTGCAGATATCTTAAACCATGCAAGGTTATATGGGGTTGCAGATGTTCACAGCTCCAGGGAGCCTGACCACTTTGGACAGGGAAGAGTGAAAAATGGTTGCACAATGCCCACATGCCAGGCATTGGATAATCTATTCAGAGAGTGGGCTAGAGTCTGGGGAGGTCTCTGGGCCCGATGTACATTGTCAGGGGCGAGATGTTGGTGTTGCTGCCTTGTGAAGGGGAGAGCAAGCTCCAGCTCATAGGTTGCACCCAAGCGCAGCACAAGAGAGAGGAGCAGGTACCAGACCGTGCTGGCCAAAGCTGGGTTTTCGGTCTTGTTCTAACCTCCTGGTTTTTGTTTCTTCTCAGACTATCGCACCGGTCCCTGCTTCAGCCAGGTGAATAACCAAATGTGCCAGGGCCAGCTCAGTGGAATTGTCTGCACCAAGACCATGTGTTGTGCCACCATTGGACGGGCCTGGGGTCACCCATGTGAGATGTGCCCTGCCCAGCCTCACCCCTGCCGCCGGGGCTTCATCCCCAATATACGCACTGGAGCCTGCCAAGGTGAGTGCCATGGAAAGGGGCTGCTGGGTCCCAGCCAGCCAGAAAATGCAGCTCAACCTGGCTGGAAATCTTCCAATGAAACCAGTTCATCAGCCCGGACATTTCTCCTGAAAAGGAGCCAGGTTGGCTGAACTTTCATCCAGTCAAAGGCAGGGTCCCCGGGATGCTGCTCTGCTCCAGAACGAAACCAAAATCAAAATGCTGAAATTCTCCCAAACCAGAAACCCCCCGTTTCAGCCAGCTCTAACTGCAACGCAGTGGTGAGCCTCGGAGCCCGGGGGCTCGGGACCCTCCCCAGCGCTGGCGTGGCTGTTGCCTGCACCGGCGACGGGAACTTGCCAAACTGGGCTACAAGTAGCCGGATGCTGCATGATGCGCACTTCAGAAATATGGGAAACAATCACAGTGATCACCAGGTGGGTAAAGTGGCTTCACTTGGCAACCATGGTGCTTGTTTCCCATTGCAGGGGGGCAGAGCTTAGCCCCGCGTAAGCCCAGGGCCAGGCCATGGCGCCCCCTTGCACCGCAGAAGGAGAGTAACATAACATGCTCCTGTTCTTATCACACCCCAGCTGGCCCCGCTGCTCTGCCTGTGGTGCCAGCCTCACTGCTCCCTTGGTCTCCTTCTCCCTCTTCTGTGCCGTACACTGCAACTGCTTCGCCCACTTGCTGATGTTCTTGTTCTTCTCCCTGCAGATGTGGATGAATGTCAGGCTATCCCAGGCCTGTGTCAGGGTGGAAACTGCATCAACACCGTGGGCTCCTATGAGTGCAAATGTCCCGCAGGACACAAGCAGAGTGAAACCAGCCACAAGTGTGAAGGTAAGACGAGGTCCTGAAATCCCCAAAGCCTCTCCTAGGGAGCAGCTGTTGTTCTCTCTTGGCATCTTCTCACCATCTCACTGAGCTGCGCTGACAGGGCAGGAAAGTGCAGTCAGTGGAAGCTTCTCCCGGCTAATGCACACCCGATCTCAGGGTGGGGTAGTGTTAGCCCCAGATGCTGCTATATGTCACACCAAAGGATGAAGAAACTAACCACATGTCTTAGTCACTGAAATCTGTGTGGTAGCAAGATAGAACCACCTGCCTGAGCAGAGACTCTGCGAACCCAGGGAGCGCAGGAGTCAGCAGGGCACTCACAAGGGCCTGGCCAGGGAGGTATCATTTCATCTTGCAGGCACGCGGCCGGCGCAGGTGAGAAGCGTGTCCCTTTAGCCAGGCAAGCTCAGGACATCTCCGGTCAGTATTTAGTGTGTGCTTTCGAAAGGCCAAAGGACAACAGAGGGGTCAGTGGAGTGCTGTGGGGCGGGATTTCTCTCCTCAGAAGGCTGAGAGGTAACGGGAGTAAATGCTGCCCCATTTCTCTGTGTTGTGGCCTTGTGCGCTGGAAAAGAAATGACATGCCTGTGACTTCTCTGCCTGGCTGGGGAGACTGCACAACCATATGGAGAATGGAGGAGCTCCTGGGCCTGCCACAGGGAACGGGCTCTTCCTCTCATGGCAGGATTAAAAGGGCCATCTGGAGGCGGGAGGGTTGTGGGCTGGAAGAATGGAGCTTTCCCGTCTAGATCAATAGCTTAGACCCAGCCCATGCTGGTAGCCGCCATACAGAGGCTGTCCAGAAGCCACTGCAGTGGTACAAGCCCAGCTGAGTGTGGGCAGGTGAGTAACTCCTCAGGTGTCTCCATTCCCAAAGCCACTGTTTGGCAGACAAGGTGCAGGGCTGGCTGGGCCACACAGTCTGAGCCATTGCCCCAGCCTGGTGGAGGCCCCGGGAGGGTCCAGTCAGGGCAGTGGGGAGGGAGCTAGCTCTGCATTTCGTGCTGCTACTCTTCAGGGGATGCTTCTAGCCGGAGCTGTTCAGAGCAGAGCTCCAGGAATATTTTCAAGCCTGCAGGAGCCCCAAGCGCCTGCTGTGGGGCGGGAGCCCCGAGCGCCTGCTGTGGGGCGGGAGCCCCGAGCGCCTGCTGTAGGGTGAGAGCCCCGAGAGTCTGCTGTGGGGCAGGAGCCCCAAGCGCCTGCTGTGGGGCAGGAGCCCCAAGCGCCTGTTGTAGGGTGAGAGCCCCGAGAGTCTGCTGTGGGGCAGGAGCCCCAAGCGCCTGCTGTGGGGCAGGAGCCCCAAGCGCCTGCTGTAGGGCGAGAGCCCCGAGAGTCTGCTGTGGGGCGGGAGCCCCGAGCGCCTGTTGTAGGGCGGGAGCCCCGAGCGCCTGCTGTAGGGCGAGAGCCCCGAGAGTCTGCTGTGGGGCGGGAGCCCCGAGCGCCTGCTGTGGGGCGGGAGCCCCGAGCGCCTGCTGTGGGGCGGGAGCCCCGAGCGCCTGCTGTGGGGCGGGAGCCCCGAGCGCCTGCTGTGGGGCGGGAGCCCCGAGCGCCTGTTGTAGGGCGGGAGCCCCGAGCGCCTGCTGTAGGGCGAGAGCCCCGAGAGTCTGCTGTGGGGCGGGAGCCCCGAGCGCCTGCTGTGGGGCGGGAACCCCGAGCGCCTGCTGTGGGGTGGGAGCCCCGAGCGCTGGGGCTTCCGGAAAGACTTGGTGAGAATTTAAGCCCTGGATGTTTTACATTTTCAGTCATTGCGTCAATGAACCCACTGCTTGTTCCTGGTTCAGAGGAGAGTCTCGGAGGGCTGTGACAGTTGTGTAGTGAGAGCAGAAGGAAGCAATGAGGCCAGGAGAACTGCTATGAGTAGCTGGGCTCCCAGGTCCGTCAAAGCCCCTTTCCGCTGCTCTGGAGCACACAGGATGGAAACGGCCTCCTGGGAATCTGCCCGGGCAGGTGGGCACTGTGATGCCAGGGGTGTTGCTGTGAGGGCTGTACCCAGCTCTGCTCCCAGTGCCCTGCACGGGGCACATCAGGGAGCTGTTGGGGCTGCACTTTACTATGGCTGCATCTGCTCACTGGGGCTGTGGTAGCAGAGCGTATGTTAGAGCATTCCTGAGGCCCCAGGAAATGGGGAACACAAAGGTGGGTGAAAGCCACCCTCCTCCATCCCCCCGTCCCTGCCCCAAGTGCAGGACCAGAGTAGCTGACACTGGGGCCCAGCGAGTAGAGGGGTGAGCGAGGGCAGCCCTGCAGATGGCCTGGTTCCCCTGGCAGCGAGGAGATCCCATGGCGGTACTGGCTCCAGGGGGGCTGTGATCTCTGGTACACCAGGGCAAATGCAGAGTAACCCTAGGGATCTCTGCGGTGCTATTCCAGATTCCAGCCCATTGCCCCTGAGGCATAAAGCAGGTGCAGATGGGGACATGTCACTGGAAAGCCTGGACCAAAACGGGGACATCTCGCTCATTCGTAGCTAAAGCGAGGTTGTTCCCATCACTCCAATGGTTTGCTGGGCTGTGCCTCGCTCATCTCCAGCTGCGTGGCAGGTGGCAAAGCCTTTTCGACCATCGCTGCAGCCTCACTCCCAGAAATGGCACAATACTCCAGAGGCAGGGTTCCTGCTCACAATATGGGACATTGTCCACTAATAAAAAGAAGCCATTCTATTTTAACAGCTCCCAAGAACTACGGGCAAGATTTTAATAGCAACCGCTGTACATTTGGGGTCCGCACCACGGCAGCTGTTGCTCAGAGCTGTAGAGTGGGGATTATGGTCTGGCTCAGGATCAGCCCTGTGGGCACGGGGTGTGCAGCATACGTGTGTGCGTTCCTCGGCACAGCTGCCTCTCTCAGCTCTTTGGAAGGGTCTTTCCAGCCGCTACAGCTCGGCAGAGGAAGGGCACTCTCCTCTTCTTCAGCATGGGAGTTAGCAGAGTCACGAGAGTTCCTGGCCTTCGGAAAGGCACTAGGTGTGCTCTGTGTGATCTGATTGTCGGGGTCTGGTCACGTGGCTGCACATGGCCTGGCTGGGGGTGATGTGGAATGTCAGGCTGGCTGGCTCAGTGCTGGATGTGGGGTGGCCTATGCTGGGAGGCTGTGCTCAGCTGTCTCTGACTGCTGGGGCCGTTTCATGGTGTTTCCATCTGTTTACAAGGGAGGTGCTTTCTGGACCGTTTGCACAGACAGAAACAATTATTTACAAATGGCCTGACTGGTTTTGGACCAGAGGATCGCACGTTCCTTTGGCAGCAAGAAGTGTAATTAAGCCAGGCCTATCAGTGGGAGGAAAGGCAGAATTTTACCCACTTCCGAAAGCCCCCCGTGCTGCTGATGTGTCTCTGACTCAGTCATCATGAGCCATTGCTGAGTTAAATACAGAACACACTGGCTAGTAACACCCAGTGTTTGGGGGCATGTGTCTTGTATCACATGGCACACTCTTCTGTGCTAAAATGCAAGGAGAGAGCGCTGGGTAGAGTGAAAGATCGTTATTTATTGCGGTGCCACGATGCTGTAACAGCTTTTTTTATGACTGTGGCCTGACTAGTTTCTCGCAGTCCATTCTAAGCAGCTTCTATATAGCATGCACTCCACTGCATGTCTGAGTCCCATGCACACTCCCCTAGAAAGAGGGCACTCTCCCAAACCCACTTGGCTGAATTCCAGAGGGCTGGCTGTGTACCTAGCCAGCAAGGCTGCATTCCCAAAGGAATAAACATTCATTGTATTTTTCCAAACATCTGGCAAGTGAAAAGGAAAACAGAATGAAAGCTCCCCTGTCTTGGTTATTAAAACTCTTTCCCATGTATCTTAATGAAACCCTGCTGGCTTCAGCTCTGCCTGCTTTGCTGTTTTAGCTAACAAATGTGATTGTTCTGCTGATGCAAGTGTCGTCCCACCTAGCCCTGCTTCAGGAACTCCACATCCCTTTCATTCCTTTCCAAGGCTGTGTAGTAACCAGGATCAGAGGCGATGAATGTGCTGGAAACCAGATGTTCGACCTGGAGTTGGCTTCCAGGTGGCAGAGTTGTTTGCAATTATGGAACCCCAGGCAGCTCGCGATTAAATAACCGGGTAAGGGAGGGGGCGCTGGGCACTCATGAAATAACCATAGCAGCAGTTCATGCCTGAGCCTTAGTGTGGCGAGGTTTGTACAGCACCGAGCAGAAAGAGGTCCTGATCCGTGACTGGGACTCCTAGCTGCTGCCATAATCAGGGCCGGCTCCAGAGTTTTTGCTGCCCCAAGCGGCGGGGAAAAAAAAGCCGCGATCGCGATCGGCGGCAGCTCCACCGCGCCGCTTTCTTCTTCAGCGGCAATTCGGTGGCAGGGCCTTCCCTCCAAGAGGGACAGGGACCCTCCGCCGAATTGCCGCCGAAGAGCCCGACGTGCCGCCCCTTCCCCTTGGCCGCCCCACGCACCTGCTTGCTCAGCTGGTGCCTAGAGCCGGCCTTGGCCATAATCATTCTTCTTCAAGTAGAGGCAGACGTGTATTCCAAGTAGGTGTGTGCACCCCTCGCGCCGGAACCAGAGACTTGTGCCTAGCAGGACCCATAGAGGGGTGGTGCTTGTGCCGATAGCTCCTTCCCGTGCCTCGCCCCCTCACCCCCGTTCCTTCTCACCACCCATTGGCTGGAGTTAGAGCTCTGTGTGGTGAAGTCTCACAACTGCGCATTTGTTGCAGGGAGTTAAAAGTGATAGTGTTAGCGGCTGTGCTTCCCAGGGTGCCCTCCCTGGGCTCATGCATTGCCCTGCGTGTGGAGTGACGGTTCCCACCAGTGACCCTGACAAGCCGCTCTGGCTCTGCCGGCAAAGCCCACCCTAAGGAGTGCGGTACAATCTGCAGATCGTTCAAGAAGTGGACTCGGGAGGTGCGGAGCCTTCGCCTCAAGCAGCACCTGCTTGAGCAGCCCATGAGGCCTGACCCAGAACTGAGGCCTTCCTGGGCCACAGATCACCCCCCAGCTTGGAGAGCTCTGCTGCCTCCTGTTCCAGCGCAGGAGTCGTTCTCTTTTGCGCCAAAGAAGA